TAGGAGGACAAAACAGTTTTGTAAAGTGTTTTAAGTCCAAAGAAAGTGTAGTGTTGCAAATCCAAAGAATGTTTAATTTATTAAACAGTAATAGAAATATTTACAATGTGCAGAAATGTGACAATTATTCACCTGAGCAATGTAAACAACTTGATGTAGGATTTTTACTTGTGATGAAGTATTTTTGCTTTGCTGTGTCAGTGCTTTTACTTCATTAAAGTACATGAACGCTTTTTCCTGCGCTGATCTCCGAGCGATCTTCAGTGTTTGTGTGTATTTTGAAGGCTGCAGCCCGTGTTGTCCTGCAGAGGGTGCCCTGCAGCCGCTCACTCTACCGGAAGTACCGGCACACACGTGACCTCTATCAGGAAGTAAATAAACGGCCTTCCCGCGCAGTTGAATTTGTGAACGAAGACGTCTCCGTCCGAGCAAAATCAAACACAATGGACGAGCTTTATCTGGATAATATTGACGAATTCGTCAACGACCACAACAAAATAGTACGTTTGCTTTTGATACACGACGTGCCATCGTGTTTTGAGGTTTTTCTGGTCGAGCTAATGGCGGTTTGTAACGCGGGTTAGCCTCGACATGTTTTAGCGGTTGAACTGCGTTCAAAAAACTGCTCGTTTAAGTCTTTCTTGCTTTCACAGCGAATAATTTTCATAAAGTTGTATAACTTTAAAAATGCCCATTTGTCTGGATCTTTTAGTGTAATCGGCTTATGAGTATTGTAGCAAATAGCATGTAAATTGAACAAAATCCGGTTTTTCACAGCTGAATAGTTTCAGTTGCTGCATGTAACCGCCAGCAGTTGCAATAAAACAACAACAAGCGGCAGAAGGTGTTTGATGTTCATTACTTTATGGATATCATAAGGAAAAGGGAAGTATCCCGGCAAAATAAAAAGAAGCCTTTTCAGTTATCTGACTTTCTATAAATAACCAGCGGTAGAAAAGCGTAGTATTATTTTGTTATAGTTATATGTTTGTTTTTTTTAAATTGCAAAATCTAGGACAGAACATGGAAGCATAAATACATAGCAGAAGGCAGAGGTGGAACATGAAGGTGTACATAATTACGTTAAGGTGGCTTTGCATGTGATTGTGTGTGTGTGTGTTGGTGTGTGCAACTCTGTTTAATATAGAGATACGTATATGCGTTGTCTACTTTCTGTGACAATCAAAATGTGGATCTAAACACAAATTTTGTTGACCAGGTGACCTATAAATGGCTGAGCCTCACTCTCGGAGTCCATGTCAACACAGCAAAACAGTAAGTGGTCTTTCACGTCTTCGGGCTTTTGGCATAAAAATGTGCAGAAATGGGAGCAAAGCAAAGATTTCTCCTGAGAGCGACCCACACCACGTTGTGTAGTTCGTATTGATTACAATCACTGCATCATCATAGGATAAGACAAACCTGTATTAATACCGTTGCATGGGATTTACAGCAGTAAAAGGGACAGTGCAGAAAATGTAAGGACATCGTTCGAAAAGTATGAATAAGAAATGTACATAAATATATTTTTCTTGAACGTATTCCATTACTGTCGGCACAGTGGCAAACTTAAAAATACAAAAATCCTTTAATTTAGTCTTGACTCAAAGCAGCCATACAACAACTTTACCCAAATATCATATTGCTTAATATCTGCTAATATGACTAGAGGTATATTTTAATGTCAATTTGGCGTTTCATAATACTACTGAGGGCAGAAAATATTACACGTTTGTTTGATGCACTGCCTTAAGGCTGCCTGAGGCGAAACCAGATGTGGTAGGACGCTCTGTGGTGTAACACGGTGCGCTGGCTGCTTCTCAGTGGCCTTATGTCAACATGTAGGAATAAGCAACTAATGACTGTATTCTTGATTTAATCATTTTGTTTAAAAAAGAAAAGTATCAAAAAATGTTCACAGTGACAGCTTCAGAATGCGTGTTTTTTTTTTTTTTGTCTAATCAACAAACCCAAAATCAAATCTAATCACTTTACTGTCATATACGACACAAAGAAACATCAAATTCCAACTTTGGTGGAGAATAACAAAATATTTGACGTTTTTGCTTATGAAATCAAATTCATTTCCAATTCATTTCATGTGTTTTGCTTATTTGCCAAATTATTGCAACTCTGATTTTGGCAGTAATATTGTGTATTCCCAAATCAAGTTCAGGGCAACACAGTGTCATATCACTTCAACACATATAAAACATGTCTTGATTTCAGAATGCTCTTCCATTACCTGGATCACAAGAGGAAGGAAAGTTCAGCTCAGCTCCACGCCACCTATCTCGTGTCGGGGAAGTGTGTGGACAAAGGTCTAACGGTGAGACCCGCTCAGGCGTTGTCTACATCTTTATTCGATGCACAAGGCTGCAGTTTTGATTTATTTCAATTGCCGTTGTGTTTGCTCTTCAGAGTCACAAGGTGTCAATTGTCAGAGAGGAGCAGTTGGAAGGTGTGTAAATATTATTTTGCACAGTAACATGCAGTATTTTCTCTGCAGCTTCTCATCATTGTTGGGTAGTTGTTGCCGCTGCTTTCAGGCTCTAGTCTTCAAACAAATTCATTTGGGAGTCACCATTAATAAACACTATACTCTTGTAATCTTGAGTTTATTTTGTTTAGACACAGCCGTGTGTAACCTTTGCTGTTTTCTCTTGCAGATGTCAAAGCCAAGATGAGCTTGATAGTCAGCGTCCACATCTACAGCGTCCAGAAAGCTTTACTGAAAGACAGTGGTCCTCTCTACAGCGTTGACTACGACGCTGTGAAAGACAATCTGAAGAGCTGCAGCAGGTATGTTGTGATTGGAAGTGGACGCTGATCGGGACAGGCTGGGAAATCTGCTCATGGGAGTTCAGAAACCTGAGCTTTCTGTTGGGATGTTGAGTATTTCCTTTCACTCGGTTTGCAGATACAGTGCGATCCGCTGTGCCAGTGCAGTGCCCATGTCTTCTCTGGAGCTGCAGCAGGCGAGGGAAACGCATCGAGCTCCTTCACCAGAACCTGAAAACAAAAAGCCTGCCGTGAACGGAAACGGCAGTCTGACATCCAAACCTTCCGCCAAGCCGCCAAAAGGCATCATGGGAATGTTTGCAAATAAATCTACGCCTAAAAATCAGGACAGCGGCAAAGAGACAAAGTCTGAGCAGAAGGAAGACTCACCAGCGGTACAACTTTGCGTCCTTTTTGTTAACAGCAGAGTCGTAGAAAGTTCGCTGTAGATGTTTATGATTGTGTTTTGTGTTTCAGGTTGATGCCCCCAAAAGCAAACCAGCCGCCAAAGTCAATCCAATGATGAACTTCTTTGGAAATCAAACAGCAAGTCAGTAAGATTTCCAGTGATGCTTAAGAATATATTGAGGTCACAGACTGCTGCTGTTTGGTTTTTGCTTCTGTACGTTGTGTTTTTTCTGCATCTTTGGGAAAAAACTGCTGTTTCAAAAAGAAATACGAGGCCTATTTGAATTTTGAAGGTTCACTTTAAGACCATCAAACTGTGTAATGACTACTTTATAGCATCGCTTCAGTTTTAAACCATATTTGGTGAAGATGGCATTATACAGAACTTGACTTTGGACTTGTGTGTGTTCAGCTACACTCTGCTGCAAATCCTAAGTCATGGGATGTTGTTTATCACTCGGCATTCAGGTTTATTACCGGTGATATCAGTGTTAATTACAGTAGTCACCACTATGAGCTGTAAGCTGAGGTCAGATGGCTCTGCTTCTTTGTCAGGCCTGATAGAGAACAGGTTTTATTTCTTTCTAAGGCCCTTACTGTTTTTTGTGTTTTTTTTTTACCCCCATTGCATCACTTTACTGCTGTGTTTTGATGTGGTCTCTTACCAAACGCTCTCACATGATTGGATCACACTACAGGTGCCAGCTGTTTTTACAGAGCTTGCAAAATCCAGTTTTGCTCGCTGTGCGAGTACAACCTAGAATAAGACGCAGATCACTTTAAAGCTTGGTGTACTTTTGTCCCGAGGGGAATTTAGTTCTTTAATTTCATCTTGATTTACCTGCAGCTGTCCTTGTTTTCCTTGGTATGTTTTTTTTCATTATTGTTTTATTTTTTTTAAATGTAACTGCTTAGATTATTCTTAATGTTTTTATTTGTCTATTGTTTTCTCTTTAACTGAACTAATTTGAACTGAATGTGAAGATTGCCAGTAAAAGTGTTGTCGAGGAACACGTTTTTGGGTTCACCAGTGTAGTTTTCTTTTGTTCTTGCTGCTGTAGGAAGCGTTTCATCTCCCCCTCTGTATTATTTAGTAGAGTGGGTGAAGCCACAGTGGAAAACTTGCCATATTCGTAACTTTATGTTGTGTTAAGACAGACTCTGACTCTCTATCGGACGTCTTTCCATCTGTCTAGTAATTCTGCTGTCAGGAGTTGCAGACTTTCTTTAAATGTGGCTTCTTTGTCGACCCATTGGATCCTGTTACTTTAACGTTTTTCTTTCCAGTGAGGTGTAGAAATGAACATAGTTGTAGCATATTGACAGTTTTTTGTTTTTTAAGGTGTCCTCATTTGTTGAGGTGGCCTTAAAGAAATGTGACATGAGACAGTTACAAAAAAAATCACAAGCCATAACACTGTGCATAGACCAAATATGGTGACTGTTGTCTCTCTTTTCCAACAAGTCGTTCTTCCTCTTTTCTTCAGAGAAACCTGAAAAAACCATGAAAGAGGAGGAAGCAGCTCCGTCATCGTCCACAGCAGAGCAGCAACGTCAGAGTCCACAACCAGAGGAAAAACCAGACGCTGCTGCAGCGGAGTCACATAAAAACACTAAGAAAGACTCCAGGAGGTGTGTTCATAGTAATGTGGGAAATCTGTGAGAAATTAGCTAAAAATTTCACTTTCAAATAATCAAGCAGTCACGATTTTGTACTTTTTTTTTTGGATGAAAACACAGAATGCGACATTTCTTGTCTATAAATGTGAAGAAATTGTTCAGGCTTTAACAAAGACCTTTGCTGTGAATTTTGGCTTTAAATTTATTTGAACAAAATCTTTTTTTCTCATCTATTGAAGCAAAAACAAGCGGATTGAAGATTCTGACAGCGAGGAGGAGAAAATGGAGAAGAAAAAGAGGCGAAGGATTAAGTTACCTGAACCAGACAGCAGTGATGAAGATGGTACTTATTTATTTATGCTTTTTTATTTCTAGTCATTTTGTTAATGAACAAATTAAGACAGAAAAAACGAACATAGATTTGACAATGAATGAAAAACTCTGAAATGAGAATGAAAAGTGGTTATGGTTGTTTAGTGTTGCTGGTCCGTCTGTTTTTTAAGAATCAGTCGTAGTTTTTCGTTGTTATAAATCCAGAATATTCAAGTCCTTGGACAACAGAAGGAATGAGGAAAGTAGGACATTTCAAGGTCCATTTTAAAAGTAATTTTATGAAACTAATATTTGTTCGTTTGTCCAGTTATTCCAGATTCACCGCCACAGATGGAAACAAGAGAAGCATCACCAAGTCCTAAAAAAGAGGTGGAGGCTGTTAAACAGTCATATGTAAGTTTTCAACATTATAGTTTTCATATAATAACTGTAAGGCAGGTGGGGGAAATATCAAAGTGATGCATTCCCTTCATATTCTTTGATATTTTTGGATTTTACAGTTAATAGTGATAGATCAATAATTCAGACTAATTAAATTCAATCAGCTAACAGGGCCTGCACTGGGTCAACTAGCAGCTTATATTTTCTTTTTTTCATGACTATATTTATCACAAATGTCCTCGCTTAAAGAGGCAGAGGAAGAATGTAACAACAGAAGTCACTGCTATCTGCTAAGCTAGTGGATCTCATGCTAAGTATATGTTTGATCTGCTTGGGTTGAGCAAGCGTATGTCACGATTCAAAGTAGCTGCTGTCCAAAGAGATTTAATGTCATTAGATGAGCTGTGATACAGAAGCAAAGATGAATCCACACAGTCATGTGCACAACAGAGTTTTACAATAAACTTACTGTAACATCAGTATGTTGACTAAACCAGCAGGAGGAGATGCTGCTGTCTGATGATAAACGCTGTTGCTAAGTGCACTTAAACTATATTTTTCCTTCATGCGTTTGTTTTTTTCACATAGTTTGTGATTACATGTGGACATTTATTTGTTGATAAATTTAAATTAGTGCAGACAGAGTGCAGGTGTGCAACAATTGTGTGTCTAATTTATGATTATTAAATCATTGCATCAAATGCAAAGAAAAAAAAAACATGATACGGGCATTATGTCTGAGCCATCCGCCACTCTGCTCTCTCAATATCGGCATTCACTATTGATGTGCTGACATCAGTCGACCACTTGTGTTTAACACTAAACACTTGTTTTTTTTATTATATTACAGCAGATGAATTCTGAAGGGAAGATAAGAAAGAGGAGACGAGTCCTGAAGTCTCGTACCTTCGTGGACGAGGAAGGATGCATCGGTATGACAAACCCTTCATTCGACTTCGTATTTTGTGTCTTGACAGCTTTGCTGCTGATTTTAAAACACAGTCCTGTCAAATATTTACAAAAAGATGATTTACTACATAGAAGGTCTTTGAATATTGTTTTCTGTTAAAAGCGATGATTCAGTTTGGGGTTGTGACTTTAGTTTAGCGAAAGGATTCATGGATTTTAAGTTGAAAACCGTGCAATTAGCACATCGCAAAGGCTGCCACTAATGATAGATGTTATGCATTATGACCCAAGGTTTACACTGTCCTGTCAGATTCATCCAAACAAGTGTAACCTGTAAATCTACTGACACTTGTTGCTTTAAAGGGTACTTACTTCATGGACTAAACAGTGAATTAATGGAGTAATAGTCCAGTGTTCATTTCAGCTCAGTTGTGTTGTACTTTTGGTGTCTGGAATTTGTGCCTCTGTTGTATTTAATTATATTTAAAGGTGCTTCTGGTTTTGTTCCTCGTGTGCATAAATGGGTTTTGATGTAATGCCCTTTTATTATAATGCAGTTCAGTGCACATACAGCACAGTTTATCCCCAAACTCTTGATTAAAAAGTTGCAGAAAACTGCAGAATTGTACAAATCTTTTACATTCAGATCCACAGTATGTTTTTTTTTACTTTTAGTTACTCCAGTTTATTTCTTTCCACAGTCACAGAAAAAGGCTACGAGAGTGAATCTTACTCTGAAACAGAGGATGATTTCCAACCCACCAAACAAGCTCCAAGAGATCCCGTTAAAGCAAAAGCACCATCAAGCAGCAAAGAGGACGAGAAGAAAAGTCAGAAGAAATCTTCAGCGAATGCAAATAAAGGAACTAAACAAGCTTCCATTATGGGATTTTTCCAAAAGAAATAACAGAAGACGGCGATGGACACTGACGAACATAAAGCACTGCTGCAGACATGTTGTAAAGACGTTTTACTGCAACTGACTCTCATCTGAAACACATCACATCACTGTAACAAATAAAACAAAGCAGCTCTTAAATGGACCTCAACAATGGGCATCAACCTATATTTTACTGTTTACTGTTACCAGCTGTGAAAGCATGTCCTACTCAATCAATAAACATTGAAAACTGAAAATGTGCTTTTGCTGTGATAAATGTGGGAGGTTGACGGGATTATTGTAGGTCCACTGTGAAGAAGAAAATCTTACTCTTAGTTTACCACATCCTCAGAGGTAGGATGCACCAGCTTTCACTTGGATTGCATTTTATTGCAAAACACAACTAAACTGCTTTAAAAATTTTCTGTATATTCATATAAATTGTGATTTACAGCACTGGTTATAACTGCTACAGCATAAACAAGCAAAGAGACTGGATCCTGCTTCAGAGAGTACTCGGATACTTCAGTTTTTTTGCAAGTTTTGCGCAGCAGCCTTAATTTGAAATGGGTAAAATTGGCAGTTTTGTCATCAGTCTTAAAAAAAAACAGAAATCTCTCAGAAGTTTTCAGATCCTTAATTCTGTGTTTTGTAAAAAGCCCTTTTTGGCAGCAGTTACAGCTTTGAGTCTTAATTCTCTACAGGTTTTGCACCCCTGGATCTGATCAGTTTGTCAAATTCTTCCTGGCAGATCCTGTCAATCTTCATCAGATTGGATGAGAAGCATATATAAGCTGCCATCTTCAGGTCTTTCCGCAGATGTCTGTTTATTTGTGGCCTTTGTCTGCAACACTCAGGGAGAGACTTGACCTGAAGCCACTCCAGTGTTGTCTTAGCTGTTTGTTTTGGGTCATTGTTTTTGCTGCATTCAACTTTCTATGAGTTCTGACCGAACTCCCTGACCTGCTGTGAAGAAACCCCGTTAGCATGATGCTGCCGCCACCAGGCTTTCCATCAGGTACTGGCCACATGTTGAGCAGAGGTTTTCAACAGTCACAGTGCCTCTGGGTTCTGCCCAAACGGTTCTGTTTTGTGACTCATCAGACCAAAGAATCATTAGAGTCTCAGGGAGGTTTTTGTGTATTTTGCAATGAATGACTTTTGCTAAGCTGCGCTACCACAATGGTCAGACAGCTGAAGCCATGATGAAGATGGTTGTCTTTGTTACAGGTTCTCCATCCCTGTGGAGAACCTCTGAAACTTTGTTAGACTGACCGTTCATCATCTCTGTAGATCTAAATTGGTACAAATATAATCCATAAATTCTGATTGTAGATTTGACCACAGATTAATGTGAATTAAAGCCAGTGACAACAAAAAGTGACACCTAAATAAAACATCAATAACTAGATTATTCTGAAAGCAAGTACCAAAGTACCAAATACTACTTAATTTCAAAGTATATTTTAATGCAAATTCCTGTGTACTTACATAAGATCTGGAACGTGTGACTGTTGCCTACAACAGAGTATTTCTACACAGTGATATTTTCACTTTTACTAAAGCAAAAGGTTGAGTTCTTATTCCTCCTCTGACCAACTCAGTGATTGTTGCTTTCATCCCTTGAGGGCTTTTGTTGACGATATGAAAACGCTTGCAAACTTTTGTTTTCACACTTTAAATAATGCATAATTTCCCTTAAAGTGTTGTAGAGGTGAAGTTAATGACACAGAGATGAAATTGTCCTTTTAAGCCTTCACTTATGAACACATTTATGCCTGCAGCCTAATGCTTTTACAATGAAAGTAAATCTACACGCAACATGACTGTAATAACTAAGACACAGCTGTCAACTAATAGGCTTAGTAGGATGCTGAGCTCTTTGCCACACAGTTGGGCTGGTAGGGGTGGAGGGGGGTCTCCAATAAATATGTAGCTCAGGATTATAAATAGTTTTTTCTTTCTCTGTCTAAAAACAACAGCAGAATGTATAAAGGAGGATGAAATGAAAGGTCATATGACTGAAAAGCCCTTCCTTTTATTCTACCATTCCCACAGTCGAGGAACACTAGACAATGTGGTCTTTGGGGACTTGTTGCTCCGTGATATTCACACTGTACAGCATTAGCTCATACAGCAGCAGCACCACACCCTTTCCAACACACAAGTGGGCCAGTCGAACTGGTATTTGGATTAGCAAACATGAAAAAGGATATCCCTCAGTGTTTCAGGGAGTGTCCAGCAGCTCGTGGTTCGCTGTGGCTTTTGCTCCATTATGGCATCTGTTGAGTGAGGTCAGACATGATGCATTTTTTTTATTTTGGAGGAGACCTCACAGCTGCAGCTTCCACAGCACACAGTCTTAAAGACAGCTGAGTCACACCGTTACAGTTATGTCCTCTTGCGGAGTTTAACAATAGCACCAGTGTTCCTAATATTTCCCTTAAAGCGCAGTAGATAAACGTGTCTCTCACACTGTGCAACATGATCGATTGTCGCGGTTTCTCCAGAGTTTCATTGAAGCAGTTTTATTCAGAAGCAGCTTTTATAATTGCAAAAAATAAAAAATTACTTGTATGTTGTTTAATTTAAGAAACATTTTCCTGTAATTTAATGCAACATGTTTAATCTTCAAAAACCCTGTAATCTTATGTCGGAATTATTTCATGAGTTTCAATTGTGTCCACCTCATGTATTTGTATTTATTAAAGTGTAAACAGGTCTATAAGGTAACAGAGGTTAAAAAGCATGAACCTTTTTTTTTTTTTTTTTTTAGTTTGTGTGTAGAAGTTCAAGTTAATTTTGTTTCAAATGCAAATGAAAGCCTGCTGCATAATAATATAGGATTTTTACAACAAAACAGTGAGGAAGGAGCTGCTCTGTCCTTATATAGAGTGCAATTATTATTGATAATTGTTGATAATAATATGTAATCATCATTTGTAATGTTTTTTTTGGGGGGTGTTTTGCCTTTATTACAGAGGTCAGTTTAAAAGAGACATGAAAGGTGGGGAGAAGAGTGGGGAAGGACATGTAGCAAATCAGCCATAGGTTGGACTTAATTCATAGCCGCTGCATCGGGGACTTTAGCCCCTATACGTGGATCGCCTGCTTGCAAGCTACTGGGGCGCCCGTAATCATCACTTTAATGTTAACTGCTTTATACCTAGTACAATATTTTCCTTTGCAATGATGCAACAGAAGGATTAGGATGCAGAAAAAGTGTTTAGCAAATGGAAATATATATTCATAAACTGTAAATGTGCACCATTTTAATATTTCCTTCCAATTATTGATCCATTAACATGCAATCATTTCAGTGTTGGTTACTTTACACAATACTTTATACAGTACAGTACAATCCTGTCCTTTGGATTGATACATTAGAAGAAGAGAGCTGCAGAAAAGTGCTTCTCATTGACTAAATGTACTTTCCAGCGATGCATTTACGAGCATAAATTAGAAATGTATCCCATTTTATTTTAAGGTGCTTTGTGTTTTGTACTGATGTGAGCTGATTAGCTGAATGTTTAGCTACAATCACAGAATGAGGACAGAAACTGCTCTAGCCCTTCATAATGTATAATTATAGATTATTATTAATAATGAATTAACATTCACCGTTTGAATATTAACTGCTTTAGACAACACAATACTTTAAACAGTACAGCACAATACTTTAATCTGAAACGATGCAGAAGAGCAATAAAGAAGCATAGACGTGCAAATAGTAGAATATATGTATTTTCTACCAATGCAAATATATATGAGGAAAACTATCACTGTGCACCACTTTGGTATTTCCTGTGTGTCATAGGTGGTGCTTTGTGCTGTTTTTTGTATGTCTGCTCAGGAGGAGGGGAGCTTTCTGTCTTTTTTATAAGGTGCAATGATGTATTGTTATTGATGCCTTAACATGTTATCATTGTTTTATCATTTGATACTTTATACAACAACACTTGTGCAGCAAGGGGCAATAATTCCCTGAGCAGTCGGGGAAAGTGCAGACAGTTGGGTAACTTTCCAGAAATGCAAATATATGAGTTAATTAGAAATGTGGACCATGTTCATATACCTCTGTCAGGTGGTGCTTTGTGTGTTGTGTGTGTGTGTGTGTGTGTGTGTGTGTGTGTGTGTGTTGTGTCCTGATCAGTGAGGTTTGGTTACAATAACACGGTGGAGGGAGCGCCGGGCTGACGTCATGGTGATCCACATCCACAGCAGCAGGAGGGGTGAGGTGGCCAGCCGCTGATCCACCGGTGTCATGGCTTCCTAACAGGAGGGGGAAGTGATTGAGAGCAAAACAAGGATTTTTGTTGAATGCCCGACGGATAATCGCCCTTTCCCAGAACCTGAGATTGGGACAGAGGGGCTCGGCCTCCCTTTTCGCCCCCCGCGGCCGCCCCTGGGATCCAGGATATACTTTAATTTTTATCGGTGAATTTCCATTCGTAAACCGTGGAAGATGGCCGACCCGGCGGAGTGCACCATCAAAGTGATGTGCCGTTTTAGGCCCCTGAACAGCTCCGAGGTGACCAGAGGCGACAGATACATTCCCAAGTTTCAAGGGGAAGACACCGTCGTAATCGCGGTGAGTTGTTTTGTGCGGCTCCCTCTTTGACAGAGCCCTCCGGCACAGTGAGCCGTACGCCATTTTTGATTGTCTTCTAGCTACGGGAGTTAGCACCTTAGCTTGTTAGCTAACGTTAGCAGGGCTGACCTGTTCACCGTGGCGTTGTTCCGCTGGCCCTCAGCTGCGGCCAACTTGTGGCGCCACCGAACACTTAATCGCATTTATCTAATTACTTATTCTTTTATTCACTTCGAGGGCAGCGGTCGTGGATTTTAATTTAACATTTCAGAGAGCCACGCCAATTGCTGCTGCACGAAAATGCCACTATTCGCAGTTGCCCTGTCATGGCTAGCGAGCTGTCATTCAACAAAGCCACAAATACATCGGCTGGCACAGGTTAAAATGTCGCCTCCGCCTGCCTCCATAACCTGCTCCCTGGTCGCTGCATTATTATCACGACATTAAATATTAACTAGCTGTACCTCTGTAACTATAAAGCTATTAATTATGAACAGTTTGCGTCAGCATAAAGCGTAAGCCAGCTTTGATTTGGTAGTGGCTAACAGACTGTTGGCTAGCAGGCTAGGCCAGCTGGTAGTTGACAGATTAGCCGGCCTTGGCTAGCTGGCTAGTTTTAATACTGTAGCTTAATTAAAGCTAACATTAGCTAACTGACCAGCTGGCTACATAACCAACCCTTCTGCGGACCATGCTGAAGTTAGTCACAGGATTGGATATTAAATGGAAATAAAATATGATTCCATAAAGGATCAGAAAACATAGACAGTGTTCATAATAAAATAATGAAACAGGGAGTGGAAGTGTGGATCTATATGCAGGCCAGCTGTGTTCTGTTGGCCTTCAGTGACTGGACACTTAGCAGTTCAACTACATAATCACAGTTTTAAGGAAAGGGTTTTCTTTTCATTGGGATGTTTATTTTGGGACCAGACTGAAGTTGTGTTTAGTTTAATTAGTCCTCCGGTTATACAGACCCCTCCAGCACTTGATAATGGTTATGGCAAGGGCACAATTTTCCCTATGACAAAAGAAGGAAATGCCTTTATTCATGCAGTGCCATGTTGCCTTCACTTTACTGAATCAACAAAGAATTTGCCCTGAGGTCTGTTTGCAAATGATTTGTACCTGATGCTTTGTCATCATAGGCCTATAGACTATGTCTTTAATAAGACACGATTTCCTCAACCTGGGGTCATGCCATCGCATGCCTCTGCACCATATCCCCATGGCAGGATTGAACATCATACACGAAAGGAAATAAGTTAGTCTTTTCATATTCAATATGACTGTTGTCATTAAGAATCTTAAAGCATGAAAGGAAGGCTGACATCTCAGGTTTGTACTTGCTAAATGTGCAAAAGGCAGCGCTGAAATAAAATGGTTAAACATTAGTTTTCCTTAGCAACGAGCTATCTTTCTCTTGGTGGACTTTGGTGTCTCGTAATATGCTCACCCTTGGAAATACAGCCTTAAGAGCGTTTACAAGGCAATAAAAGGCTATCTTAAATTCCATTCATGAATTTGCAAGTTTTGGCTGACTGGATATGAATCACGTCCTCTTTTGAGTGAAACTACCAATTTAGGTGGTGAATTTAAGAGCACAACAGGACTATTCATTTTCTGTCTTGCAAAACAGAGAAGCCCGTTATAGCTGTGGTGACTTCTTGAATAGTTTTGCTGACACTGACTTCAGGCCTTTAGCAAATAGCAAACGTACTGTCTGTACCCCTAAGGCGTGATGTGGCCCTGCCCAGTGCAGAGTGCCAGTCATAGTGCCAAAATACCAGTGCAGATTGTGAGAGAGGCAAGTGTTGCAAGTCAGATGCTCCTCTGCTGGTGCATCAGCTTTGAGAAGCACAGCACTTACAATACCCATAAGCAGCAGCAGCAGCAGCAGCAGCGCAGGGCTCCTGGGTAATCCTCCTGTGTTTTCTCTCCTGGTTACCAGCTGTTCAACCAATCAGAGCAGGCATTTGGACGGGCACTGGGCAATCTCTCCGGGTGGGGAGGGTAATTATTATGGTGATGTACTTTGTTTTGCTGATGCTCTTAGCCAGGGTGACTGACTCACTTGGCTCATATTTTTCATCTCATTTGAAACAATCTAGGGCGTGGTGGACCCTGTGCTGTGGCTGAAGCGCCAGCGCTCCATCACTCAGCCAGTGGTGAAGCTGACCACAATGCCTGTTGTGCAGACATCCGACAAGTAGCTTCACCAGTGCAACTGTATCGGAGGGTCACATATTTGTGCGATATTCCCTTACTCAGCGGTGGTTCACTTTAAAGCCCTGCCAGTCTTTTGCCGAAAAGGGAGTGAGATGAAGTTTCCAGATGAGGCGGTGTGGGTGTCGTAACTAGCTCAGTTTGCCAAGCTAGCTTTGCCAGCGTGGTGTGAGTGTGCAGCAGGTGAATTATTCATGAGCCCATTGCCTCTCTGTCAGTTGTACACAAATGGATCAGATCATTCTTCCCTTTGCTTTGCTGTCACATTTCCTATTTCCATACATTAGGCTGGGACGCCCCACAAGAACAGCACTGAGCTACTTTTAGATAGTGGTGGAAGTGCGTGAGAGCTAACAGGAAAGAAAAGGATTAGAGAGATAAGTTAAAGTACTCCTGCCATATTTAAACAAGTAAACAACAAACAATCAACACCTTCTTTCCCTGCTTTATGTGTATCAGGCAGTAAAACAAAACCCAAATTGAAAAATAATGGAACACCACACCACAGGTTCAGTTGGATTTCATGCATAATACAACAAGAACCATGTGGCTAATGCAGAAGAACCTGACTGTGATGGTGTGTTGCGGTCTCTCCTGAATAGCATTCCCTGGGCAATATCATAACAAAGCCATCAGGACGGGAGGAACATGACAGAGCACTTATGAATGCTCTAACAATACATTTCACTGTAATTACAATTTCAGCCACTAATCCCATTAGGCACAAGTGTAGGTAACGAGGCCAGTAGCAGCAGCAACAATGAGGACTTTAAACTCGGGCTGCGCCATTGTTTGCTGACAGCGTCTGGCAGTCCTGATAGTGGCTCGGTGCTCTTGTTCTGGACAGGGTTAATTGCCAGGATGTGGCTCTCTGGAGTGAATTACAAATGTCTTAAGATGTTGCCGGTCGGTGTTGCAGAGCTGTACTTTGGATGTGACCGTCTGTCAGGCGGGATTATGAGCCACGGTGCAAATTGAGGACATCTCAGCTGTAGAAGTCAGAATAATTTTTGTACTGGTAAACGTGCTGCAGCTTTAATGCCAGACGATGACATGCTTGTGGTTTGACCTTGAATTAGAACGTGTTGACGCGTATTACTGGCCCCAAACTAGCGAGCTTTTGTCAGTGGCGCCTTCAAGGTGACACCAGCTGCTTGTCAACATTCTCAACTTGTCCTTACCTACACAGGTGTCAACGCTGAATCTAAATATAACTAAGCTATACTGCTAAGGCACATCTGTTTTGTAACCTGGGGTAGCATTAATGGGGCTGTTCTGTTCTTAAAGTCTTAACACATCAGTGCTAGAACCCCACCCATAAGGCTGGAGATGAGATGATTCAACTGGGACTACAAACCTCCAAAGACAACGTGCTATCTCAGTTGAACCTCGGATTTGCCTGTAGCATCACATTTAATACCCTGCGGTTTCCATCTTAAATCCAGCTATTGATTGGTGTCTCACTGGAGTTGTGCTTTGAAGTTTTGACTAGCCTACAGGACAGTCAGCTACACTTTAAATGTAAACTTTCAACTTTAGGGAGATTGCAGGAAAAGAGTTCACGTGGGATAGAACCCTTGTCAGGTGAATGATACTTAGATGCAAACTGCAGTGCAGCAAGTGGAGGTTGAATTAGATTGAGAACATAAAGTTGTGACTGATTGGAATGTCATGTTGGCAAACGTGATCATGTAACACAATGTTCCAGAGTCTGAACCTGGCAGGGGATGTCTGTTGTATGTCATCCCTTCTGGATACCCTTATTTCCTCACGTCTCACTATTGTTTGTCATCAAATAAAGGCAAATGTGGCTTAAAAATGCCCATCAGTAAAACACAGCTTTAAAATCTCGACAAAGTTGAGGTGAAATGCTCGGTGGTTTTGTAGGGACTGCGTATGGATTTTCTTTGATTTCTTTTTTTGACATATTCACGCTATAAATGACAACAAACTACCCTTAACGAAGCTAACAGGCATAACACATAATTACTGCCAGATAACGTTCCTCAACAAACGCGTTAGATTCTCTGTGTTGAACTCAGTACAATGTAAATCACAGTTGTGTGAGTCAGTTGGTGAAAGAAAGTATTACACACAAATCTGTTTACAAGACATATTACAGATTATTTAAAATGAGGTTACAAGATAATGGGATTTATTTCGATGTGTCATCTGTCACTAACTCTTCTTCTTTTCTCTACTGCAGGGTAAACCGTACATGTTTGACAGAGTGTTTCAGTCAAATACAACACAAGAACAAGTGTACAACGCCTGCGCTCAAAAGATTGTAAAAGGTCAGCTCTCACTGTTGTTTGTTTTGTTTATGCAGAAAATGAAAAAAGACATCTGTTCAGTATTTTATAAATCATAAAATACATTCCAAAACCCTTTAAATCCTCGCTTTACTAAGTTCTAAATGGTGTCTTACAGATGTTCTGGAGGGATACAATGGAACAATTTTTGCATATGGGCAGACGTCATCTGGCAAAACACACACCATGGAGGTAAGAACGACTTTAGAAAAGTGATTTATTTTTAATTGGGGTTCATCTTGTTTTTGATTGAAATTCATTTGCTTGTCGGTTTGCAGGGGAATCTCCATGACACAGATGCAATGGGCATCATCCCCAGGATAGTGCAAGACATCTTCAACTACATCTATTCCATGGACGAAAACCTGGAGTTTCATATCAAAGTAAGTAGAGGGGGCAAGATGTTGGACTGTCCTGCAGCTAGTTATGAAGCAGAGAGCTGCAGTGGCTGGAGAGGCACAGTCCTCTGATATTTAAGAGTGGTGATCCATATTTCAAACTCAAACTGTGAGTCCTGGAAGCAGGCTACATGCTTTCTGTTTAACTATTACTTCCTTGTTTGCTATTACTTTGCGTTTTTTGCGTGAGTCAGTATAAGCGATGGAGGAGACTGATAAGCAGCATGTCATTTTGTACCGCTCTGTCATATTTCCCAGCTGACACACCTTATTTGAGCTCTACTCAAGAAATTCCCTTCTGGATTAATAAAGTTCCGCCTCATCTTTTCCTGCTGTTGCAGCACATGCTGTTGGGCTTGTTGGAAAATATGAGTATAAAACTTGTTTTGTCTCTATGGAATATAAGTTTTGAGATATCGGCAAGGTAGGTGTGAATATATAGATTAAATAATTTGGCCAAGAATCTGTAAAAACACCCTCGACACACCTTGACACATGTGCTTCTGATGTTCTGTGGATCTTTGTGGAGTTTTTCTTTGTCAGTGATAACCGGGACTTAGTTGCATCTTTGTTCTTTGTGTGTGTTTTTTTTCATTTTTTTAAGTTTGCGTAATAACGTGTTTTGCAGGGATCACGGCAACCCCTCAGTGTGTATTTTGATTGTTTAGTTTGATCTATCAACGGGATCTTCTTATAATGAGGTCCTTCTTCTGTTCACAGGTTTCATATTTTGAAATCTACTTAGACAAGATCCGGGACCTTTTGGACGGTAAGCGCCAAACACCAGATCTCTTCACATGTGACAGAACGAGCTGCTGAAATGTTGAGAAAATGAATGAGCATGTGAACTGCATGGACGGGCTGCGTGTTTTGCTATAAACATAGTTATAAATGTACTACAACACATAAACACTCATGATATTCTACACTGAGTCTACGAAGCAGATTATTCTGAGCTAAGGGAATATATCTGTATCAAAATGAGCTGCAGACTTTTGAAAATGTCTGACTTTTGTGGTATCTAGTTTTAACATGGCATTTCATTACTCAACAACGTTCTGTTGTCCAAAATACTGTTACTTGGTAAGATTAGTAGTTTTTGTTCTTATGTTTGTAGCCATTAGAGCTCATCCGTTTTGCCCTGAACTTAAGTGGAAGTTTCTGGTTTATATGACTGATACACTGTCCAAGACAATACAAGATGTGATGAGAAGAGATTCATGGAAAAATAGAAGACTGCACATTTTAACCACACATAGAGTTGTAAACACAATACAGCTTTTTATATATATAAATGTTTACATTTCAGATGTTTAGGATGTTAAAGGTTTTTGTGGCGTACCCTCAGTAGGCTACATAGTTCCTTGCCAGTTTCTGACACATTTATTCCCTCTTGTTTCCAGTGTCAAAGACCAATTTGTCAGTGCATGAAGACAAAAACAGAGTACCCTATGTCAAGGTGAGACCTACCCTCCTGTTACATGTCAAAAATCTGGTAAAACCTGTTAGAGAACGCCAATAATCTAACCGCATGTTCTGTTTATTCTTCTTCTTCTTTTTTTAAAGGGCTGCACTGAGAGATTTGTCTGCAGCCCAGATGAAGTCATGGATACAATTGACGAAGGCAAATCTAACAGACACGTAGCAGTTACAAGTAAGACACTGTCCTTTACAAGAATCTTCATCACAAATGCGTTGATTTTGGAGGCTGATGTCTTTTTAACTAAGCACAACTTCGTCCGCAGACATGAACGAGCACAGCTCCAGGAGTCACAGTATCTTCCTGATAAACGTTAAACAGGAGAACACTCAGACAGAGCAGAAGCTCAGTGGAAAACTCTACCTGGTGGATCTGGCTGGTAGTGAAAAGGTGAACTACAATTTCTGTCATACACACAATAGTATCAGGTGCTTTTTTTTTTGTTTGTTTTATTGTATAAAGCGACTTTGGTTGCCTAGAAAAGCGCGACATAAATCTGATCAATTATGATTCTCTGTCATTTTCAGGTCAGTAAAACAGGTGCTGAGGGAGCAGTGCTGGATGAAGCCAAGAACATCAACAAGTCCCTGTCATCGCTGGGAAACGTCATCTCTGCACTGGCTGAAGGAACGGTCAGTACATCTACTTCACCTCCATGGGCTTTTCTCCTAAATCTGCCGCTTGTTTCCTTATTGGGAGTATCTTGTGATGGTAGTCTGTGACTTCTGGCTATTTAATTAATAGTAAAAGTGCCTGTTGAAGTGAATGTGTTTCCTAATTAAGGTTAATGTGACAGTTTTTTTTTTCTTGCCTGTTAGGCGTTAATTTTTACAGCAGAACATAATGAGCCTTAATCTGTTTTTGGCATTACTGTCTGGCTTATTCAGCACATTATGTTTTAAATCTGTTACAACCTCAGGTGGTGATTTTGTCCACACACTTAAGTAGCATCTTGAAATAACAGGCATTACTGTTAATGTAGCAGACAGAAGGGAAGCGAGTCCCGTTCACCGGCTGCACTGCCCAGAGCTAGGTGTGCATGTGGAACACCAGCATCATTTTCAGCTATCCGACTGTGAAAGTGCCATTTTCAGCCATCTACAGGTCCTTTGTGCTGCAGGAACAACTGGAGTAGATAAAAACTTTGCTCCGAGCAATGTTTTGCTTTAGCTGCTTCATACAGATCTCACCCTTCTCACTTTGATCAACAGTTGGTTTGTCTTAGAGCTCATTCGCTGTGTAAACAACCTGAGGCAGACAGCCGCAGATATATTTGTGATGGTCTAAAACAGACGAGCTATTGTCCAGAGATGTTTCACTCCCAACTGAGCCTAGGAGCATGTGAAGAAAGATAGCGGAGTGCCGTGGCTTAGCTGTTTGTATCGATGCTAATCATATCTCAAGTTATCATTTAACTGCCTTCTAGTTTTACTAAACGTGTGAGAACTGTAACGTAAGCCATTACATCCTGTCAGCTCAGTGCTGGTAAAACCGCAAGCCTCCTCTTTGGTTTCAGGACAGCAGCAGCAGCGTTTCAAAGTGTAATAGACCAGCTGATGGAATACCAGACTTTGCTTTGTTTTTTATTCTGCTGTGTAACTGTGATATCCGTCATATATGGTTTTGATAAGTGACTGTGAGATAATGTGGTATGCTTCACAGATCCCAATGCATGATTGATATGTCTATATATTTATGTATGTGTGTCTGTGTCCTATATTTTTAGGCCTACATCCCTTATCGAGACAGCAAGATGACCCGTATCCTGCAGGACTCGCTGGGTGGTAACTGTCGAACCACCATTGTTATCTGCTGCTCGCCTTCCTCCTTTAATGAGGCTGAAACCAAATCCACCCTTATGTTCGGACAGAGGTTAGTAGGCCAGTAGAAGAACTGCAGCTTTATGGCTTTAGTCAAAATTGTTTGGCTGGATGCCACATTTGTATATTTAAAAAAGAAAAGTTTATTATGCAAAAAAAAAAAAGATCCACGCTTCATTAGTGTTGTAAATTGATATACAAATACATTCATATATTGAAATTGTGGTAAAGAGGACATAACACGGTGATATAATAAATTACTAGACAAGTCCCAGCTGGTACATTTATATATATCTTATTTTGAGAAATAGTGGGTGCTTAAAATTTAATTATTGGAGTTCTTCAAGTGGAATTTTTTTTCTACATCCAGAGCAAAGACCATCAAGAACACTGTGACAGTGAACATTGAGCTGACAGCAGAGCAGTGGAAGCAGAAGTATGAGAGGGAGAAGGAGAAGAATAAGACTCTGAGGAACACCGTCACCTGGTTGGAGAATGAGCTCAATCGCTGGAGGAATGGTAAGTCTTTCTGGGTTTTGTCTGCAGCATACTTGTGAAACAACCCTTTGCCAACACAAGTAAAGTTCCATCCCTCCACATAAACCGAACATGTGTGTTCTCCTGTCCCGCCTCAGGTGAAAGCGTGCCAGTGGAGGAGCAGTTTGATAAGGAGAAGGCCAACGCCGAGGTGCTGGCCCTGGACAACATACTCAACGACAAGCCGGCCTCCACGCCCAACGTGCCCGGCGTTCGCCTCACTGACGTGGAGAAGGACAAGTGTGAGGCTGAGCTAGCCAAGCTTTACAAACAGCTGGACGATAAGGTGAGGGCTAAAATACAGCATAATGTAGTAAAGTGGTGTTTGTTTGTGGTTTGTCACATGTATATAGGTTTTAGTCAGCCATGTACACTGAGAGAAGAGGAGAGGTGCATGTCTTGAATTTATTTAGTAATTCTCACTAAAATGTGATCGGAGAATGTCATGGTGTTAAAACTAGGGCTGGACCTGAATAGCTGAATAGGAATAGCTGACTATTCGTTAGCTGTGCTGGAATCGGGATATCAAACTTGATATCCGAATATCCCCCCCGCCGTGGAAACGGAGCCGTCACCGCTACCCTAAACACAGAAACTGGTCTTAGTAGCCAAATGCAGCCTGTGCGTCACGCCCACTCCAGCCCGTCGGAGCCTGAAATACTTGCCCGTCACCACCACGGCACCATCGAATATTCAGGATATTCGTCCTTAAGTGGGACCGAATGTCCGGATATCAGAAATTGCTATTCGGACCAGCCCTAGTTAAAACTAAAGTGTAATCATTCAGATTGAGTCCCTCCAACTTTACTCTTCTTCTTGATGCCTAATATTGATTGATTGGTTTCAACCCATTTACAATGGAAGAAATCAGATTATAGACCGCTGGATGTTGAGATTATCTCTCAAATGTCTCTTCAGTAAGTGTTGATGTGTTGGGATGAAATGTACATATAGCTACAGCCCGAAGAGTGGAAAATCATCTTTGCATTGGTTTACTTTTAGACACTATCAATACAACTCTGAAAGCAACACCTGGCCAATATAAATACTCAATGTAACAAGGAAGAGTAAACACATTTCTTCTCTATCAGGGCTCAGCAGTCTTTATTCAAAGGAATAATACTGTCTTTTTTTGATAGCTTTAGATATTTAATAGGAAGAGAGTTATTTTATTTTCCCTGCATTTATCAGTGGTCTGTCACCTTGTACCGGCTGTCTACAGTGATACCTGTGGTGCCTGGTGTGAATGCTAATGTTGCTGTGTGTCTTTGCACTTTACAGGACGAGGAAATCAACCAGCAGAGCCAGCTGGCCGAGAAGCTGAAGCAGCAGATGCTGGACCAGGAGGAGGTGAGTAGCGGAGGTCTAACAGGTGGAAGGGTGGCAGCGGTGCAGAGTGAACTTATGATCTTTGTAGCTTCACAGGTGGGAGGAAATGCATGAAGCTATCACAGCCGTCAAGTTGGGTTTATATTTTACTACTTCAGCCCTGCTGTTTTGAACAAGGCTGCAATCTGGGATTACTATTAAGCCAGTTTATTAATTCTGTCTCGTAGTTTCACTTTTACTTAAAATGCAAATGCTCAGTCAGCCATATTATATCAAATGCTGAATAATTGCTCCAGCTCTGCTACATTTGAAAGCAAAAGAAACCCCAACCTAAACCTCTTTCCCCCCCGTGCAGCTTCTAGCTTCCTCCCGGCGTGATCACGAGAACCTCCAGGCAGAACTGAACCGCCTGCAGGCTGAGAACGAGGCTTCCAAGGAGGAGGTGAAGGAGGTGCTGCAGGCTCTGGAGGAGCTGGCTGTCAACTACGACCAGAAGAGCCAGGAGGTGGAGGATAAAACCAAGGAGTTTGAGGCTATCAGCGAAGAGCTCAGCCAGAAATCGGTGAGCTGCAGACAGACATCAGCCTGCCAAAAGACTGCGTGATGCTTTCATTTTTGTCGGGTGCCTTTTATTTGTCCTTTGTTTTGGCCACGTTAATATGCAGCACACAGAAACGCGACACTATAATTAAACTCGTGCAACCTGCAGGCATAAAAAGAACTACTGACAAATCCACCCAGGGAAACATGCACATATTAATTACTGCTGCAAATCCATTATTTCTTTCACTATTGAAAGCCTTTTCCAAATCTGGAATTCACTGCAAAGTGAAAAAGATCTTGGCAGGTTGATTAAATGCCATCATTGTCACGATGTGCCTTAAGTCAAAGCAGTTCAGCAATGATTTTTAAAAAGTAATTACAGCTTCACATTCAGATAGAACCATCTCTACAAGCATATGTAAAAAGAAATTAAGCACAAGAGTGAAGGAGCAGTGACTGCAAGAGACTGGGCTGTGTGACTGCATAGGGTGTGATATAGGCTGATGTAGGGTCATGGTGGGAAACTATTTATTGTGGCATGGACAGAGACATAGAGCAGTTTCAGAGCCAACAGCCAGACTGTCAGACTCTCTTTTCTTGAGTGTGAGAACACATAGCCCCACTTGTCACTAGAATAACATTTATGGCTCTTGGAGAGTCACTGTTTGGGTATCTGTTATAGCTGAGCTAACAATTCTTCTACGAGAGGCTCTCTGGTGAGCGTCTCTGTGGGGGAATGTCACTACAGAACTGTAGCCATGCTGTTTGTGTTGATCAACAGTTATTGGCAGATTTGTTCTGTCTTTCATCCTGTCGTTTGTCAGTACTAATCAAGCTTGCTAATTCTACATAGATGTCAACATTTGTCACGTTTGTTCACTGTCAGGGAGGAACCAGAGAAGCTGTTTTATGTGAGCAATAGATGGTTTTGAGGCTAAGTTAATAGCAAAGTAATAAATTTAACATATATTGCATAGTTTTGGTATTAAAGCTTCTCTTTCTTTGCAGTCCATCCTGTCTTCTCTGGACTCTGAGCTCCAGAAGCTGAAGGAAATGTCCAACCACCAGAAGAAGAGGGTGACTGAGATGATGTCATCGCTGCTCAAAGATCTTGCTGAGATTGGCATCGCTGTAGGCAGCAACGACATTAAGGTACTGAGATGGTTCCTGCACTTTCTCTCGTGTTCAGCCTCCCTCTGTCTTATTTGTCTTTGCAGCTTTTTTTTTGTCTTTTCTCCTTCCTAAGTCTAAACTTTCCTCTTCTGTGTTTTCAGCAACATGAGGGTGGCAGCGGTCTGATTGATGAGGAGTTCACAGTGGCCCGTCTGTACATCAGCAAGATGAAGTCAGAAGTGAAGACGATGGTGAAACGCTGCAAGCAGCTGGAGAGCACCCAGTCAGAAAGCAACAAGAAGATGGATGAGAACGAGAAAGAGTTAGCAGCCTGCCAGCTCCGCATCTCCCAGGTATACAGGAGATAAACACAGATGGTGTATTGACCTGATTCAAACATCTTTCTGATCCGTCTGCGTCTGCACATAAGGTTTGGTTTCATATCTGAATCCTAGTAAAGACTGTATGTATAAAAAAAATTTATTATTCCCTCTTTCTCCAGCATGAGGCTAAAATCAAGTCCCTGACTGAGTACCTGCAGAACGTGGAGCAGAAGAAGAGGCAGCTTGAGGAGAACGTGGATTCTCTTAATGAGGAACTCGTCAAGCTCAGCGCTCAGGGTAGGTCACCACATGAGGAGGAGCAGGGAATGAAGCATAGGCACCAAATTCACTTAAAGACATTACAACACTTCCTCTAAGTGCAGCCGAGCAGCGGATGTGGAGTAAAAGTTAAACAGGCTTTCAGGAATGGTTAACCTCAATGTAGTTGCCTCACTTGAAGAACTGGTTGAGGATGGGTTTCGAGAACTGCCTCCAAAAAAAAAGAAAGAACTTGCTGTACTTTTGAAGGGTTTATGATCAGGTTGTTGATTCCTGATACTTAAGTGTGGCTCTGCTGTGTCGTGTTTGTTTACTAAATGGCAGTGCATACGAGAACATTTGTACCAGAGGCCAGAAAGACTTTAAAATGTCAAACCTGGAAGTAAACCAGACCTGTCTACTATTGAACAGCTGGTACCTAAAGCCACACAGAACCAAGAAACATCTGTCTGGAACTTAACCAAAACACACAGACTCTAAACAAGTTAAAGCTAATTTACAAGTTGCCCAATCAAGACTTTGTGTCTCACCAAATGCAGTGTCAGGAAACGTCTCCTTGCCAAGAAAGATGAAGGATAATGAATTTGGCTCATTTAGAATCGGCTTTGCAGTTGTGTTGCATCGAGCATATTAAGGAAAATTTCGATTTGTTGATCTTAAAACTATAACAGCAACTGGTTGTTTGTTGCCACAGCTGCTGACATTAGCATCACCAAAGCATTGCTATCAAGCTTCATCATGATCAGGGCTGTTTGATCATGGCTGGAGCATCAGTTTGAGTATTTCAATTCAGTTCAGTTAGTTCAAATAACTTTATTTATCCCCTAAGGGCAATTCAAAAGCTCACTGAGTATTATCACGAATGAAAGGACCTGACTGACCTTATATAGTGGATCTGAACCTGTGTGGGTCTGTACAAGGCAAGGCCTGGGTGTGAAGGTGTGGGAGGACCTGTGGAGACCTGTGTTTCAGAGCAAGACAGAGAGTGTACATAAGACTCCAGGGGCATGCTGAAAGTCCACAGAGGTCTAAACCTACAGAAAATAGATTTCACAGCCGTTATCACTGTGCTTACTGAATGGATGTATAGCCAACTTTAACACATTTTTACAATCTCAGGCCTGAATTTATGCTGATGTCATTCAGAAGTTTGTTTGTTGACGTCATGACATAATGGGAAATCATATGTTTGTATTCTACAGAGAAAGTCCATGCCATGGAGAAAGAGAACGAGATCCAGACTGCCAATGAAGTCAAGGTACGTCCTGGTTTCTCATTGAACAGGGTACAAAGGCGCATTGTAATCCTGCTGATTCTGCAAGGGACAAAAGATTGTTAAAGACAGAACCTTCATCAGAAAAAGTCTAATATTCTAAAAATAAATACACATTTTTTGCTAAATGTCCTGTTAACATCGCCGTTAATTTAACAGCATGTTGATTGTTGTGTGTGTATTCAGGAAGCGGTGGAGAAGCAGATCCACTCCCATCGCGAAGCTCACCAGAAACAGATCAGCAGCCTGAGAGACGAGCTGGACAACAAGGAGAAACTCATCACCGAGCTGCAGGAGTAAGTCTCTAAGATGGACTGCTGCTGTCAGTCAGTGCTGCTCAAGATGACGGCAACAAGAATGAATGTTTAATTAGGCAGACTAATGGGAGACGTAAAGTCACAGCTAAACCAATGTTTATTGATGCTGGTTCGCTTGAAACAGGATGTTGGTCACAATGAAACACAGTGAAGAACTACTGAGATTAAGTTTGAGGCTGTAAAATGAACACAGGACGTAAATATTTTCACAGAGACATGTTGTGATCGTTGACGTATTTTGTGTCTTTCAGTCTGAACCAGAAGATCATGCTGGAGCAGGAGAGGCTCAGAGTGGAACACGAGAAACTCAAATCCACCGACCAGGAAAAGAGCCGCAAGCTGCACGAGCTTACGTACGTTTCAAGCACAAACATGTGCACTGTCATGTCCGCTGGTCACGATTTTCACTGAGTTGATGCAGTTTTATTCAGTTTACTGGTCAGATACCACAAAACTTGAGGTATTTACCTTCGTTGTTGTGTGTATTTCTTTAGAGTTGAACTGTTTTTTCGTTGTTGTTCAGGGTGATGCAGGACAGAAGGGAGCAGGCCAGACAGGACCTGAAGGGTCTGGAAGAGACAGTGGTGAGTTCATAGAGATTAACTGATGATCACAGACTCGTATTCATTGTTAAACTACATCTGGAAGTATTTTTAGGCATGGATTTAAAGTCCACTTGTCCTTTTGCGTTTCAGGCCAAGGAGCTGCAGACTCTGCACAACCTGAGGAAACTCTTTGTTCAGGACCTGGCCACCAGAGTGAAAAAGGTGAACCATGTGAACATTTAAGACTCAGTTAGTCCTACAGAGTGGAATTTATGTTGGAAAAGATGACACACTACAAACCAGGTCCACATTTCATGACTCAAACTACGACTGATGAGTGAATCAGAGCAAGAACACGGTGGCCCAGATAGCTGGAGGTGTATGTTTATCTGTGATCATAAAGTCATGTTTGTTTGTTTGTTGTTTTTTGTTCAGAGCGCTGAGATGGATTCAGACGACACAGGTGGGAGTGCAGCTCAGAAACAGAAAATTTCCTTTCTTGAGAACAATCTTGAGCAGCTCACCAAGGTTCACAAACAGGTAGGAGCTCAGCTTACGCATATCAGAATATTTTGAAGATGATGATTGACTTTGTAGTATCTCAGTCCTTTGTGACTGCTGTCCCTTTTGTTCTCTCTGTGTAAATTTTCCCCCTAAATCTATCTTATTCTCCTCCTGTTGTTACACTTGCTCTATCTTTCTCGTTGGTAGGCCGCTCTAGAAAGCTAAACAAAGAAACGATTTGAAACAATTGCAATGTTCCCACAGCTGGTGCGTGATAATGCAGACCTGCGCTGTGAGCTTCCTAAACTGGAAAAGCGTCTTCGCGCTACGGCTGAGCGGGTCAAGGCCTTGGAATCTGCTTTGAAGGAAGCCAAGGAGAACGCCGCCCGCGACCGCAAGCGCTACCAGCAGGAGGTCGACCGCATCAAGGAGGCCGTCAGGGCCAAGAACATGGCCAGAAGGGGACATTCAGCCCAGATCGGTGAGCGGGGACGGATGTGGTGGGAAACATGTTTACAGACCCGAGATTGCAGAGATGTTTCACAGTGGCGGGAAATGATGTCCTCTTACATCACGCTTTCACAGGATTTTTAAAATGATTTTTAACAAAATGTTTGAAGGGAAGATTTACATCTTTTTCTGTCAAAATACACCTTTACATGTAAAAGACCCTGAAAGTACAAGTAGTACAAAGAAAATGTACTTTAAATACTGAAATACCACATTTCTATTTATATTTCTATGGCTGCACACTGAGGCAATGTTGTTTGTATGTTCTCTGATACTGTGATGTTTTATTCAACCTGGAGGGGAGTCTGCATCCTCCAATTCAAAAATTATACATGATGCGTTTTTAAAAGGCTAATTTCAGTTATTTTAGTCACAGCATATTTAAATGTGACTTTTTGGCAATTTAAATTCAAGTCAGTTCCCCCTTTGAACAGACTTTTTAGCTTCATGCAGAACAAATGTGACAGTTTTCTCAGCTTAATTTAAATAATGCTAATTTAATAATAAGTTGTCGTGCTCATGTTGTGCTAAAAATGGGTTAAACAGAACTTCAAACTTGGCAGTAGCATCTAAAGATTAGTCCTGATGTAAGATGCATGAGTGGAAATTCATTTTTCCCTCAAATAGCTTTAAGTGGGAGGAGTTTTTTGTTTGATTTTCAGTCAGCTGATCCACAGGGAGAGTTGGTGTATTTTTCTCATTAGATTTACAGGGAAGAAAAGTACTTCATTTTTATTTTGTCTGAAATAAAATGCAAATCTTGCCGAACATCAGTTTTAATCAAAAGAGGCGATACTCAATGTCCTTTTTTTTTTTTCCCCCCTCATCAGCCAAACCCATTCGGCCTGGGCAGCAGCCAGTGGCGTCTCCCACCCATCCCAACATCAACCGCAGCGGAGGAGGCTTCTACCAGAACAGCCAGACGGTGTCCATCAGGGGCGGAAGCAGCGCAAAGCCCGAGAAGAAGTAAGTGGAAAGACCGCGTTTTGTTTTTAGGAAAATTAAGAGAGAGAAAAAAAACCAAACATGACTGCACTTTGAAGCAACCCGTTTGTTAAGTTGCTGTAGATTGCTTCAGTATTCAGGAGCGTTATTTCAGTCTGGTATGAATCCTGTTGTTTTGTTTGCACAGATCAGAGCTGCCACGAGGGACTACTTTTCTATTGATTAATCTTTTTACTATTTTTTTAGTTGATGAAGCTAAAAAAAAGTATAGATATTTATTTTTTTCCAAAGAAGCAAAATAACTGCCGTATATTCTGGACTATTGAGCGAGTGCACCTGAATATAAGCCGCACTCACTAACCGTAAAAAAGGAAACAAATTCTGTTCATATTTAGGCCACACTTGTCTCTAAGCTGCACGTTGTAACAGGAGATATTTACACAGAGAGATTTTTTAAACTTTTAATTAAATACAAACGGGTAACATACACATATACGTAAATGCTTCTTTCCGAACGACGCCTGTAACGCGGCTAGGTAAAAAAAAAAACTACAGCAGCCTACCAGGAAAAGTCATTGATCGCTATCTTCATCTTCCTCCTGCACTAAAACCACTAAAGTCGTCTTCTTCAGTGTCGGAGTTGAACAGCCTCAGAATCGTCACACACTTCCTCAGTCTGTCTTTCGTTGTCGCTCTCAGTGTCACTTACGTCTCGAGGCAAATTTGTAAAAATCGGTAAAATCCATACATTAGCGTCATTGTTTAAGCCGCAGCTGCACAGTGTACAAACCTTTTTTTGTTCTTTTACATTTAACCAAACTGGAGATTGCTGCCGTCGTCTAAAAGTGCAGCTCACCAATGACTGGAGGCTCAAAACAACTTGACGTAGAATTACTAAGCTACAATAAAAACACACGTCAATTAAAGTGTTGATGCATTTTATTGTTGAAGTCAGCGCTCCCCAGCCTTTTATGTACCACGGACCAGTTTTAAGCAAAAACATTTTCTACAGACCAGTCATTGTGCACGTAACAAAAAATGAATGTGTTTTTCTATTAAGAAGTTTCATTAATTAATAAAATTACTCGCTGAATATGTGTTTACTTTTCCTTCCATCTCAGTATCGAGTCTCTCCCACCGTCCAAAGAAGCTCTCCTGAGATGTTTGGTTTTTATTAATTTCGGCGGCGGTTCGACCGACGGCTTCGTTTAACGGCCGGGCATGAAAACTAATAAGAATCAAGAAACAAGCGCAGACGGATGCGACGGGAAGACGAACTAGTCATTTATCAAAATAAAGCACCCTGCAGACTCCGCTGGGGGAAAAAAACCCAAAACAAAACAATAAAATGTTTTTATTCTTTCTGGCCCGGTACTGGTCCGCGGCCCTGTGGTTGGGCACCGCTGGTTTAAGTCATCGATGATGTGGCAGCTCTGAAGCAAACAGTATCTGCTTCATAACAAGTCAACATGTACAACGGCAGATTTTCCTTTCTTTATGTTTGTTGACAAGCGCAGCGTGTTCTTTGTTAGACAGCAGCTGAATAAATCCAACAGTTAAAGAGACAACGGGCAGGTTGTGATTGATAGTCGTCTTGTGTGCATAAAATAGGACATAATTACTAACAGCATCCTTCTTTTAAATCTGCAGCTGAAGAGCAGTGGGACAGAAGGACGACACCACAGAAGAAGCCAATATCACCCCCCGCCCACCCCGACAACCTGTCATTCCATTACAGACAACAGGCTCCTCGTCGCAGCTCTGGAGCCACGAAGGAGTTTCTGAATTATAAATATATATATATAAATATTCCCGGCCTGTACAGCTCCAGTCCCCCCCAAACCCCCCAACACACACACACCCACTCACCCCTCCCCCAATTCTCATCATGACTTATCTCTTTTTCTCTTACTGGATATAATAAAAGAAAAGAAAAGACAACAATTTTAATTTACAAAAAGGCAAGATAATATTGTTATTCACTGAACCAAACGCAGTCTTGAGCGCAGCCTTGGCGAGCGAAACCGCGCGCGACTCGAATGTGTAGCTTCGGTTTCGTTTTTGTTTTGCACAGTCTGTCGTCATCCGTCGTCGTCGTGCGAGTAGTTCTGCACTGTGCCAAGCTGAATGTAAACGGTAGCAAGATCCGAAAAAAAACAACAAAAAAAAAGGAAATAAGCACCTAAAACGGGAAAAAAAAAAACACAAAAAAAAAGACCAAAAACATAAAAAATGAAGAGGAGACCCTACCAAGAGAACTAGCTTGACCCTATAGGCTAACCTCTGTACATTTCATCATTATTCTTATCATTGGTTGTTAACCACACTTTTCTCTGAATAGATTTTACATGCTTCTTCTTTAAGGAAAAAAAACTACAAAAAAACTGTTTTGAATTGACTAGATGGCGTCGAGCACTACTGTTCAGTCCGGTCTTGTTGTACAGATGTAAAATTGGCACTGCTGCACATGTTTCCCTGGAGAGACGGCTACGAGATGAACGGCAGGGGAGCGGCTCAAAAGAAGGATTGAAAAAAGTAAAAATACGAGAAGCCAAGACGTGCGACGGTGTACTGTAGATGTATTTAACTAAATACCTGTGGAGGCCAATTGTTTTTATCATTAAGTTAAAATAAATCCTATACTCGTTATTGGTGACTTCATGAGAAGGATGTAAAGAATGTAGACGGAAGGAAGGAAAGAGGAGAATGATCCGGTTAACACGACAAAACTTCCACCTTTTAGCATAGCCTATGCTAAGTAGCTAAATGTACTGTTTTTACTTCTCTCAGTGGTTAATGATGCTGTGTTAATGGACGCTATTTATATCTCTCTGCACATCAGAGCACATAGACTGCAGGCGTATAGACTGAGAAGGCACACGATGCTTGTCCTGTCCTAGCTGGGTCCCCGTCACTCACTCATCTCCCTTCACTCACATATCAGGACCTTTTTTTTTTTGTTTGTTTGTTTGTTTGGTTGTTTTTTTTTGTTTTAGTCGTAAACCTATCAGGAATTGTTCAATCCCTGCCCTGTCATGATTTCTTTTCAAGGGTGCCTCGCTTCTTCTTCTTTTGTCTTCCCTCCAACACCACCCCGATTATTTTTTTTTCTTTTTGTTGTCGTTGTTGTTGTTGTTTCTTAATAGATTTGAGACCTGTAACTGTACGTGCCCCTTTTGGTTGTAAATTTGCAGAAAGCGACGTGTTGATGCTGGGTTTTTATGTACTGTATCTCTTTTCATTGTTCCATAGACGGTGTAGATTTGTATTTGGAGGGGAGCGCCGGGCGGTGGGGGTGTCAGTCGATGGGTCGGACCCTTGCTGCTGATCAGCCAGTCAGGGAGAGCAGGGTCTAAAATTGCACAATAATCTTCTGTCATCATCTGGAGGAAGGGTTTATTTAACTAAATCTAGCCACGGGTTGTAGGACTTATGTTGTGTTTTGTTGTCCTTGTATTTTTAGTGTTTTTTTTCCATTACTACTTTTTTTTTTTTTTCATTTTAAGTCCCGCCACATCTTTTTCTTTTTTCTTTTTTAACCCTGTGAAGCCCCAGTGTATTGGTAAAAGGCTTGCTGTGATTGTAACCCCAGCATGAGAACACTAACATCTTGTGCAAGTGCAATATACTGTAAAATACACTGTATAACAGTTGACTGGCAGGTGGGATCAGGGTGTGTTAGCAGCAGCAGCAGCAGCAGTCCTGCCACTCCTCTTTTCTGTTGGCATTTGTTACACTGGCTCTCTGAGTATTTTCTCATTGAAGGCTTTTATTGGTCTTTCTGAAAAGCTGAAACATGATACAGAGTCGATGCTGGTGGATGGTTGAGGCGGTGCTCAATCTTCACAAGCAGTACGCTCACAATCATGCATTGAAATTTGAATAATACGTTTAAAGTTGAAGCTTTTTGGAAAGGCACATTAAATTTCTATTGAATTTTTTTTTCGTTTGTTTGTTTGGCAGAGACTAGTGGAACAAATCCAGCTCGAATAGGGGACATTTCGGCTTTCTCTAAAAGGTGTAATACTAAAAAAAAAAACCTGTCATTTTCAAACAAGAAAGTTGGGTTTATAAGCACTTCTTCACAATATCTGCACTCGGAAAAAAACACTCCATATGTGGCTGTTTTTGACTGGAGGGGGGAAAAAAAAGAAGTTTCCAAAGCCCTGCGAGTGGAGCTGCTTGTCGAATAAATTCAGCAGTGATAATTGCAAGCTGCAGGGAGGAGTAGCTCCACCGTATCTGTGACAGGACAGCGTTTGGTGTCTATCGGGACGGTTTATACCCTCTGTGTAACCTTCTAGATTAGTTTGCAGCATGGACCTCAAAATGTTTATCCTTTGACCTTCCACCAAAACTGGATATGAAATGGGGAAAAATAGTAAATAAATACAGCAAAGAACATTTGTGATGTTTGCCGAAATTCAATTTTGCATTAATTCTAAATTAAAAAAACAAAACAAAAGTGTAGCCACTTTTTTTATTACTGTGTAATAGTTGGTCAATTTTTAAAGGACAGTTTTGGGGATCCATCAGTGGACAAGGTACTGGATCATTCCTGGAGAACTGGGGCACAAATAGCAGGGCTCTGATATGGACGGAGACGGGAAGTTAATGAGATCACAGTTTTGGATTGACTGCATGATGTAAATGTATGTGTGATTAAATAATTATGAGAAAACACTCTTTTGTGTGTGTGTTGGTTCATTTGAGTCTTCCAATGCTGTTTATACGGTTATCTCCTTAAAAAAACAAACTTCTATACTGTTTAGCTGGTTTTGTACCTTTACACAATTTGGGTTCGACTGAAAAAGAAAAGAAATCGCTTTTGCAGTTTGCTGTGGAAGCGCTCGGCTGCCGTGCACAGACTGAGTCCTGATCTCATCAAAAAAAAAAAAAGATAAACTGGAGTTCATGGTGCAGGTATCAGACGGGTGGATCTCAGAAATGCCCTTGTGGCTAAAAATAAGCAAATTCCTGGAGCCAGATTTCACCAAATTCAGTCAACGACAGGTTGTAATCATATTAAAACTAATGTTGAAATAAAGAGAAGCGAGTTGAAACCATGATCTACAGTCAACATGGAGCTCCACAGTGTCTCCACGGTTACTAGTGATAAAAAAATAAAAATACAATTTAAGATGACAAACAGGGCCACTGCTATAGCTCACCTGGTTGAGCTGGCGTCCTATGTGTAGGGCTACAGTCCCAATGGGGAGGTCATGAGTTCAAATCCCGCTCATGACCCTTTCCCTATAGGGCCTTCTCCCATTCTTTGGGCTGCAAGGTGGTGCAGTTGGTAGCACTGTTGCCTCGCAGCAAGAAGGTTGCCGGTTCGTGTCCCAGTGGGGGCACCGGAATCTTTCTGCGTGGAGTCTCCATGTTCTCCCCGTGGAGCGTGGGTTCTTTCTGGGTTCTCCAGCTTCCTCCCACACAGTCCAGAAACATGCTGAGGTTAATTGGTGATTGTAAATTGTCCGTAGGTGTGAATGTGAGTGTGCTTGGTTGTCTGTCTCTAAGTGTAGCCCTGTGATAGACTGGTGACCTGTCCAGGTGAACCTGCCTTCACCCTGAGTCAGCTGGGATAGACTCCAGCCCCCCATAATCCTAGTGAGGATTAGGCGGTGTATAGATAATGGATGGACCCTAAAAGTGTGCAGACCTTATTCAGATTTTAACATTTCTCAGTTGGATGAATGCACATTAAGGACCTCTTAAAAAGAGATTTCAGTTTTATATTGTGGCTCCACTGGTCTTTCAAGTCAAACTCCTTCAGCTGATTTTCTCACATAATGTCATCATGTTTGTCTTGGTTCTTGATTAATGTAGAAGATTTTATTTTGAAAATTACATTTTGGTAAATAAACAACAGATCCTAGTAATAAGCGTTCACATCCTTTTGACCATATATTGTAGAAAACACACATTAAAGTTGCATTATTGTGAATTCATACAGACCAAAAACTTGCATTTTATGGCTATAAATTTTTTTAAAACCCCAAAACCATCAATATTGGTTCGTACTAACAAGAAGTGTAACTTCAAGATCTAATGGGATTTTTTAGTTGTTTATTTAAAAATTATCTGGAAGCTTGAGTGTCTGGGTACCAGGCAGATTTGTGCAAATCTTAGAAGAAGTGTTTAAAATTTCCTTTACTTCTGCTGCCAAACAGCAAAATGTGGATATTTTCACAATCCTACAGACGTCTGTTGCCTCGCCAAAGTGATCAAATGTTTTTCCCAAGGGAAACTAGGAATTAAATTCACTATTTCAACAAACTAAACAGACCATAACTTATCTTCTTCGCTGGTTGCCTGGCAACTGGACATAGAGGACAAGAAGTCCATAGCTACCTCGGCTAACTTACTGACTACCTGTAGTTTTTGGGGGTTTTTTTGTGAATTTTTAATTTTTTTTCAATACCTTATTTGTGAATTTTCAATTTTTTACAAACACAACCAAAGAAGACAAAAACAGACGTAAAGCAATTAAAAGAAAACAAAAACAAACAAACAAACAAACAAAAAAAAAAACAGACAAAACACAGACAGGGAAAAGAAATAGACAAAAACAGAAACTGCCAGTTTTCATGAAAAACAGTCAAACAAGAAAGAGTCCATGTCGGGCCAAACAGTGCCGAGTCCAGAGGTTAGAAATCCGGGATGTGGGTCCTAAAGGGTGGCACCAGATCAGGTCGAGGACATGATGATTGATTCCACACTCAGCCACATCGTACAAGAGTGAATAATTTGCTGCTTGAGAACATTGAGAGGAAAAAATGAAAAAATAAAATACAGACCTATTCCTCCTAATTACAAATGACCTTCTTAGTCCTAAGATGGTCAATAAATGGTCCCCAGACCCGAAGGAGCTTTGAGTGGGCGTTGAACATCGTATACCGTATTTCTTCAAGGCAGATACAGGAGACCATGTCATTCAGCCATCTTTTGAAGCAAGGAGGAGGAACAGATCTCCAGTCCTTCAGAATCACCCTTTTAGCTCTAACCATGCTGAATGAGAGGGTTTGCTGTACATCTGCTGGAAGTGTCAACTCAGAACAACCCAGTATCGCTAGAAGACAGTTAGGATCTAACTGCCTGTTATATATATTGCTGTATGTATTAAATATATCACACCAAAAACTATTGAGTTTGGGACAGGGCCAGAAAAGATGGCCAAGGGTCCCATCACCTGACTTGCATCTATCACAGGTGGGAGAGACTGAAGGGAAGATCCTGCTCAGTTTAGCTTTAGAGAAGTGGAGTCGGTGGATGACTTTGAACTGGATGAGTTGAAGTCTTGCATTTATGGAACAAGATTTGATTTCTCTCGAATGCTTCTGTCCAAAGTTCTTCTGGAATGTCCTCCCCGGTATCTGAAGCCCATTCCTGCTTGAAATGGACAGAGGAGGTTGCCTTGGAAAAAAGTTCAACAAATTGTGAAATCAAATGTTTGGAGGTGGGGGATCTAGCCATAGGGTTCTAGAAGTGGTGCTGGGCGGGTATAGATTTAAAGTGTGGTATAGGATAAAGTCATTCTTCAGCTGACTCATCTTGGTGCAGTGAATATAATTGCAGCTAAGGAAGTTTCTGTAGATGATAAAGCAGCGCATGAGTCAATCATAGGCCAACTGGGACAACGAGCATCCACCTGTCCTATTACAGCAGGAGTATGGTTCCAGTAAACCCATGTTCTAGCACTGCAGGCCCAGTAATACTGTCGAAATACTGGAAGAGCCACCATCAGCCGTAGGTTTCTGTAAATGTGCTTTGGAAATACGAGTTCTTATAAGACCAGCTGAAGGGCATAATTATAGAAGAAAGAAGCTGTGAGGAAGACACAGGGTACATTTTGGAAGAAGTAAAGAAATTTAGGAAGAACTACCATCTTGATTACATGAACCCGTCCTATAAGGGAGACGGGGAGAAGTTTCCATTTTTCAACCATGATTTTAAGTTTGTCAATCATCTCCGAGTAGTTCAGTTTAAAGAGAAGCTTTGGATTCCGGGTGATTTTGATCCCTAAGTAGACAAACTGGTCAGTGGAGACTTTAAAGGGCCGACCATTGATAAATTCTGAGTCCAGCCCATCAGCCAGTGGCATAAAGACACTGTTCTGCCAGTTAATAGTGAACCCAGAGAGGAGCCCAAAACTCATTTATAAGGTCTAGAAGGAGGGGGAGGGATGTCCTTGCATCTGCCAAGGTCAAGACCACGTCATCCGCATACAGGCCAATAACAGATTCTGTTGTGCCAGTTCTTATGCCAGAAATTAGGAGATTTGCCCTGATGGCGACGGCCAGAGGTTCAAGAGCCAGAGCGAGAAGAATAGGGGAGAGACAGCAACCCTGTCTGGTCTGGCGGTGCAACAAAAACGAAGGAGACCTGTCGCGATTAGTCAGAACAGATGATCTGGGAGATGCATATAACATTTTTAATATGTGTATGTTACCAAAACCATATTTTTTAAGTGTAGCAAACATGAATCTCCACTCGATTTGGTCAACTGCCTGCTGGGCGTCCAGTCAGATGACAGCAGAAAAGGGCAGGTTGGTAGAATACATGATATTGAGAAGAAGTGTTAGAGAGGCGAAATCAATCAGGAATAAAACCTGTTTGGTCGGGATGAACCAATGCAGCAACGTGTTTGTTCCATCTATTGGTCAAAGCTTCTGCTACAATCTAAGTATAGTTTTGAGCCTTTGCATGTTCTCACACGCTTCGTTAGGCGACACTGGATCATTTTAATGAGAACAACATTTAAATAGTATAGTAGTGTAGTGTGTGTGTATGGACTGAGGTTGAATGTTTGTTTTGCAAATTAAATCAGAGCTGCGTTAAAGAAAGCATTTTAATTATTTATTTAGTTTAGCACGCGCTAACGTTAATGTATTTGTAGTTCCGGGTCATGGCCGCCAGGTTGCGCTGACTCCCCGTTTGCGTCGTGAACACCTGAGGGGCTCGGACCAGAGAGCACGAGTTAGAACAGGAGCTCTCACTCCCAAAGTATTTCCGGTACAAACATTTAAACCAGTTAACGACAACGTTAACATATAAGGCAGTTTGTAACACATGAACAAATGGCGGCATTATCAGTCAAGTGAACCAGTGTTTCTTCTTTTTCTTTCTTTCTTTTTTTTAGCTTAAACTTTAAAAGAGGGCGTGGGCGTCAGACTCGTTGCTATGGTAACTAACGCCAAGTTTTGCGCACTCACGGCGCCGGAAAGTGAGTTGTTGTTTTTCCCTCAAGAGTGATTCATCCTCATAGTGGACGATCTTTGGTTGAAGGTAGTTGGTGAAGTTGTCACAGGGCAGGCGAGAGTCCACGGGAGCGAGCGCTGCTGCTGCCGCTGTGGATTACACCGGCCAGGGAAGAACCGGAGGGACGGACGGGAACGCCGCTGTCTGACAAACTTGACAAATAGACAAGTAGTTTGACACGGCGGTCGGTCGACGGGGGGTTTTAACGGCAGCTCAGCGTCACCCAGGGGCACGGGAGAGCGCGTTTTCCTGCCTCCGAGGACGGCCAGAGGAGGTAGGCTAAGGTGCGGAGCTTTGGGCTGTTCGGGACACTCAGGAATGTTGTAGCCAGGAAGCTAATTAGCAAGCTAACGTTAGCGAGACAGACCAAACCCGCGAGCTCCAATTAAGAATAGACACAGCACGAGATAAAGTCAAAGGTATCAGCTTCATTAAAAGTGCTCACAACTATTCTACATTAATAAAGTTCATAGGAAAGCTGTACAGGAAGTTTAATCCCTGTAGGAATAGTAGCTAAATGAGTGTAATCAAAGCTTAGAAAACTAACGCTGTCATGAATGTTTGCAGAAATGTTAAATGACGTTTTTTTTTTTTTAGCTGCATTAACTTTATGAACCGACAGTAGTGAAATGAAGCTGCCTTGGTGCAGAAACCCTGCTGCTCACACCCTGTAAAGCTGATTATTATTATATTATTATTATTATTATTTGAAGGTCTTTCTTTAGGGTTAGTATAAATCACTGTAGACCTGATTTATTAACATTCACTCAGCCACTGACAGCCACAGTGGCACAGTCTGATCATACATTATAATTACAGACCACTATTTATCTGAAGATGTTCACCTCTTTATTCATTGGATAATAATATAAAAAAAAACTAGAGAGCAGCAGCAGGGATTTCTTTGCAAATAGTGAAGCTCTTACTTGCCTGACAACCAACTGAAATGATGCATTGATTAGAGATGAATTTTAGTCAGCTGTCGATTAGTCATTTCATAAAAAATGTGAGCAGCCACAGTTTTGATAATGGATTACTAATGTGTCATCTGTTTGTTTATTTTGGTTTATTAAATAGACTAATGAGTTGCTGCACCAATCAAAGAAAACAAACATTAAACTTTAGTCACAACTTTAAGTTTGGTGGATGAGACGATTGACTGTTGGAGTGTTTCTCTTGTACTTCCTCTGGTTTGTTTGCCAGATGTAAGGAGAACATGTTGGATGCTGGATTTATCGCTCTATCACTTACCTGCTGTCATGGTGACAAACGTGTCCCCAAACCTGCTCTTTTTCTGAGTGTTTCCTCTCTGCTGTGTGTTCTTGCATTAGCTGAGCTGCTCAGTAGTAGATGTGACAGATTGTGGTTATAACAGTCACAGGGGACCTCAGGGAGTTGAGTTTCGAGGAAGATGGTGGTGAGAGGTGCGTAACTGGGACAGCCTGTGCTGAATCCGAGCAGTTTGGGGCCTGCGTGGGCCTATATTTGGTGTGGCTGCATGTGAAGGTCACGGTGTGCTGTTTGTCGCTGCTCGTTCCTGATGTTACAGATTGTTCATAAGTTTTTCCACGTTTTTAAAGGGTGTGTTTTTTTTCTCTCACTTATTCCTTCGAGTTATGAAACCACCACTGACTTTGTCAGTGAGCTGTTTGCTCCAGTACAGTGGAGGAGGAGAACAGTGTTTTTACTGCTCAAAATATTGGAAAAACAACATTGGTCGGTCACCTGGGGGCAGTGGAAATAGCTGTGAACTACAGTTGACACGTAAACACATCCAGCAGTTACGGAGCAGCATGATCATTGATTTAGAGTGACGTTTTTATCCACCTCGTGAATCTAAGCTCAATATTCGCTCAGTTTTAGCTTTGTGTTTGGTGTCTACCATCCCCTGAGGAAAATGTCTGGCTCCTTAGCTGCTAGATGCTCCAGAGCAGGGATTTTCAATTAAAGTCAAATAACTTTATTTATCCCCGAGGGGCAATTCAAAATCTCTCTGAGTATTTAATATAAAGACATAACAAAATAAAATAAAACAAAACAAACGACCAAAAAACAACAAAACACATCATAAATATCACATCATATTACATGGGATGAATTTTGGAGAGTCAGGTAAAGATTCAGTCGGGTCAGAGTCACTCTTTTCATTTTACCCAAAAAGAATTCAAAATGAAAAAGAAAAAAACTTTTTTTTTTTACCCGTTTTGTTCATTGAGGTTTATTTTGCTCGAGGCTTATGTGCATTTTTGTTCATCGTATTGCCAGAAATGAAAGGAAAATGCACTAATTTGTCAAATATGTTAACACACAGACATATTGTCTTTACTGTACGTAACCTGTTGTGCCTCCAAAGGCCAGTTTTGAGCCAAGAAAACCTCACTGTATGCTCACCAGCTAGTTGCTTTGTGCGTCTGTCTTCTTTTTGTTGCTGAGCAGGTGATAAACAGGGAGTTTTAGAGTTTTTTAGCTACCTCATGTGGCCAAGAAGTCACTGTAAACATGGGAATTCATGGATCAAACGGCTGAGCAATAAACTGAAACTCGCTGCAAAGCTCTGTAAAGCTCAGAACTGCATATTCAGGGGTAGAATTATCACTACGAGTGACTGCTTTTGCAATCTCACATTGTTTTTATTCTATGATTTGATTTCATTATTATAAAGAAATCAATTCTGACCACTTTAAAGGCGTCACACTTCTTCAGAAAGATATTATTGTCAGAAATCGCCCACTTTAAACTGTGTTCTACGAGATTATTGCAGTTCCAAAGAAAACCGATGACTGTGATGTGATGCAACTTGAGTAACTGGAAAAAAATCACAACTTTATTTCTGAAAACTTGACCTTCTCACCATAATGAAATGAGTGAAGTGAAGCTGATAGCCATCTCTCTCCAACCTCCTTTCCCTTCGCTTTAAATACCTCCATAATTGGAGAGAGATTTATGCTCTCTGATGAAAATGACTCACTCAAAGTAATCGCTGGCAGCTTGGCTGTGGATAGAAACAGCCTGAACTCTGCTAACGAGAGTCATGTGAGAGTCGATTTTAGAGGAATGATGCTGTTTTTCTCACTTCTCCCTGTTTCCACACAACTTCTTAATGCATTTACAGTGAGAAACCCTTTCCAAAGTGCTGCTCTCTCTTGTGCTGAGGTGGTAGAAAATGTGTGGGTGTGTTTCCTACATGTGCTGACAAAGGCAAAGTTTTCAATGTATATCAGTTCACGCACATTTCTTCTGGCTTCTTATCACTTCGACCGAGGCTGTGCTTTCATGTACAGTATCTCCTCATGATTTTACCCTCCTGAACCTCCCGTCCATCCCATATCCCAATCTTATTACCATCACTTCAAATTAAGGTACTTCCTCTGATTTTGCTGATTGGGCGCTGAGAAGATTTGTCCTGTCTACTAAATAGCGGTGCTGAAGCCGGAGCTTAATCCAGGCCGGGATAAGTGAAAGAGACAACCTACAGAGACTTAACCTTCCTAATGCCTTTCAATATGAAGAGTAAGAGCAATGAGCAAGGTGCTGTTTGTAGTTTTGCCAAGCTAAGTTCATAGGGTATTATCAGATCATAGCTTTTCATTAAGTTGATATAATTAATTATGATAATAATTGAACATGTACGTTTTTTTCTCAATAAAAAAGGTGGAGATTCTACTAAATACAGGATGCTGCATTTGTCCAAAACTGAAACTAGTGAGTGTTTAAAATGTCAGCAAATCTGCTCATTATTTCCTCTCTTTGATTTAATTGTTGTGGTCTGTAATGTCAGAAAACAGTGAACAGTGTTCATATGTGACATCTTTTAATGCATTACTTTGTCTGACCAACAGTCCATAATCTGAAGATATGCAGTTTACAATCAATTGAAACCAAGATAAGCAGAAAATTCTCACATTTTAGATGCTGCAGGCAGACAGTGTTTGAATTTTTCTCTCAGTCGACCAATGAATTAGTTTCATCTTTAAAAAAGAAAAAGAAATATGTCATTGTGTAGAGACGCTGTTTAGCAGAGCAGATGTTTTTCACAGAAATAAGCGTAGTTGTGACTTCAAAGTACAACAAACGGCTTGTTTTGCATTTCTGAATGTGACCTGTAATTTCATGGAGAATTTCACACAACTGCAGCACAAAAAAGCTTCAAAATGTTTTATGTGATCATTGGTTTTAGATGTACTGCGTCGTTTTTCAATCTGAGTAACTATTTTCATCAGCAGCCATCAGACCGGTTGGTGATTTACCTCAAAACTTTGGCAGGATGTTAAAGTGAAAGAGTGAAAATAAAACAAGAGAGACAAATGTTGTGCAAGGACGGCAGGAAATTAGTTCTTGTCTAACCACTGCAGTGACTTAAGTCCCAAAATTTCCCAGCCACTGTGACTAATTTAACAACTGAGAAATACTTGTAGACTAGATTCTGTGAAGAATGAGCAGGTTGACACAGTCAGGCCTTCTGTTTGCTCTGAGCTTCCTGAACTGCAGCGCTACTGACGGACACGGCTGTGGCAGAATTGAGCAGAGAGGCTCTGTGAGTTCTTATATGAAGTGATCACCGTGACTGAGTGTGTAATGAAGCGCTCGGTGTAGCACTGTACAGATAGAATCTCACACCTACTGTGGATGGTGTGAGCACAGGAATGCTGCAGTTATCAGTAAAAATGCAAATCCTGATTGTTTTGATTGAAACTCGCTCTTGTTTGATGTCTTATTTGTGAAGTTTTTATAGTTTTTATTAACTGTGGATGCTGCGTCTTGCAAATCGAACTTCACCAAACGTGTTTTTGGAAAGCTCTCTCTTGTCTGTGAAATATATCGCTGCATTTCTTTTCAGGTAGGAGCTGGTTCAGGTTGTTGTGTTTTTGTCCATGTTTGTTTTGCTGTTGTAGCATCAGACCGTATAGATTTAACATTTTTGTATATTTTTGTTTGTTCTCTGTGACCTTATATTGATCTATATCTTGTATCTGTCTTGATTGCGATAATACAGCCTAGTATTCAGTAAATACCACTAGCCGTCCGAGGAGTGCACATGTCTGCAGCACGAGGACGAGATAGAAATAGAAGAAAACATTGTCTTCTCCCTGCCAGGGCCAGCGAGCTTAATTAGGAGGTCACAGGTTAACGAGCAAAGCTGCCACTTGTAGCCATGATACACCCATCCCCCCCGTCTACTGCCGCCCTGGCCGGCTGTACTCTGCTGTGTTGTTACCGCGAGCTGTGAATTGGCAGCAGATGCAGTGTTTTGTTTCATTTGGCTAATGGACTTTCTGTTCTGCTG